GCTGGATTTGAACCCACCAGTTCTGGTGTATGGCACCTTAGCTGCTTGAGCTACAGGTGCCACCCTCCTCCTTTCCTCTGTCTCTCTCCCTTTGTACTGGCTGAATCAGGAACCCCCTATTTCATAGGCCTGGTCAATTTCATGTAAGTTTCTTAGGCCTGGGAACAATCTATTCATTTGTTGAGCTATATATATGCCCCCTAGACAAAGTGATACAGAGTGGGTGGCACCCCAGCCGCCTTCACCCTGGCAGTGTTGGTGCCGTGGCAGCCAACAGAGGAACCAGGAGGTTGGAGGTTAGGCAGGTGGGGCCCTGCAGGAGGCTCCAGTAGCTGGAGAGCAGACAACTGCTGGGGAGGCTGCAGGCCTTAGTGTCTTCCTCCCCTTGCACTTGTGGCTGAACAGGGAACACCCCCCCCCACCCACCCAATTTCCTAGGCCTGGTCAATTTCATGAATGGACTATATCCATTCCTTAATGCATTCATTCACGTTGCCCCAGCGGAAGGGACTATATCCATTCATTCGTTATCACGTCCTCGCCTAATGTAACTACAAAGGACCTATGCGACTATATATACCCTAGACAAAGAACCCAGGCAGAGAGTGAGAGAGCTTTCTTTTTTCATTGTTGAGGATTCACTGAGGGTACAAGAAACCAGGTTACACTGATTGCATTTGTTAGGTAAAGTCCCTCTTACAATTGTGCCTTGCCACCAAAGGGTGTGTCACACACCAAGACCCCCCTTTCCCCCTCTCTCCTCTTCCTTTCCCCCAATCTCTTCTCCTCTCTCTCTCTCTCTCTGTTCTCCCCTTCCCCCATTCTCCACTGTATCATTAATTGACCTCATATCAAAATTGAATACATAGGATTCATGCTTCTCCATTCTTGTGATGCTTTACTAGGAATAATGTGTTCCACTTCCATCCAGGTTAATACAAAGGCTGTAAAGTCTCCATTCCTTAATGGCTGAATAGTATTCCATGGTATGCATATACCACAGCTTGTTAATCCATTCCTGGGTTGGGGGCATTTAAGCTGTTTCCACATTTTGGCAATTGTAAATTGAGCTGCAATAAACAGTCTAGTGCAAGTGTCCTTATGATAAAAGGATTTTTTTCTTCTGGGTAGATTCCCAGTAATGGGATTGCAGGATCAAGTGGGAGGTTTAGCTTGGGTTCTTTGAGATTTCTCCATATTTCCTTCCAAAAAGATTATATTAGTTTGCTGTCCCACCAGCAGTGTAAAAGTGTTCCTTTCTCTCCACATCCACACCAGCATGTGCAGTTTTGAGATTTTGTGATGTGGGCCATTCTCACTGGGGTTAGATGATATCTCAGGGTGGTTTTGATTTGCATTTCTCCAATAATTACAGACAATGGGGGGGTGGCA